CAGATGTGAATTATGGCAACATCTGAGTAGTTTTTGAAATCTGTACACTACAGGAGCTAGATATATCATGTAGGATTTAACCGCTGCCTGTTTATAACAGTCAGCGAATGGCCCAGCACATTTTTCCCTAGAAATCACCCCTCAGAGGAATGGCATTTTATCTGGGTTTAATTTAGAGAGGTGTGTAAATCTTAGCTGGTAAATCTCCTGGTTTCACAATATGTTCACGAGGGGAGGGCAGAGTAATTATTATTATAGCAATTCGTCTCTGTGTTTCACAGAACTGAAGCTGGAAAGACAGAACTGGCATTAGAAATCATTATTTTCTATCAGTCAGTGTCTGGATTACTATTCCAATGACATTTTCTGGCCTACGACACATTTATACATGCAGCGGGCCTACATTACATTATTGCAGTACCCTATGCAGAGGTATTTGAATGCAGAACTGATTTTTCGTGAGAAAGAAGAAGTGGTTAAGTGTGACAGTAAATAGACCCCCTTGTATCAAAGTGTTGTTGTTTTTTTATTTTGTTTTAAAGTGAAGCATTTTTCATTGGTTAATCTGGGCGTCGGGACATCAAACAGCCTATCACGAATCAGCAGGCTTCAAGGTTCAACAGGTAACTTGTTTTATCTCCTGGAGAAGAGTACTGTAGCTTTTGATGGGAGATATTGATAGTAAAAGATTTCAACACTCAGCACAACAGTTTTATGAAGACAAATTAAGGTTTGTGTAATTTTCAATGTAGACTTTGCGTTTATAATAGTGGGTTATAATCCAAAGGCGGATTTTTTTTATTATCTTATAGCTTATATTGTCACACCTATGCTAACGAGCTAGCTGTTATTGTTCTTGTGTGAACTAGTCAAATGACCGCAGTAAATTAAACGCTAAAACTGTTGTTTATTGTTGCGACACATAAACCAGCTGAGTATTTCAGAGGGGTCACAAGAGGGTTCGTTTGCAAACTTGGCCATTGCTTTCAACTTTTGAACTCAGTGTTAGTTATTTCCTCCTTTCATGTATTACAGCGAAAGTGTTACTGTTGTCGAGTTGGGTGGGTTTTATTAGCAGGAAACGCACTGTAGATATCTCTGACGTCATAGCTTGTTGATAAGTAACACACCTGTGTGTCTCAGTGGTGGATCTATTCCCTACTCCAGCGTGTTGAAGTATCCTTGGGCAAAATAGTGAAGCCCAGAAGCAGCATCGGATATGTTTGCTCAAGCGCTTAGATATAGAGAAAAAATGCTGGTATGAGAGTGCGTGATAGGCTACGACATCCTTTGAATGCTCAGAGAAGAAACGCTCCAACTCTAAGTACCAGTCCATTTACCTTTAACAGTAAATGCACGATTACTTAGACACACTGCTCAAAAAAGTGAAAGGAACACATAGAGTCTGAATGTGGGAAAGAAATCATGCTGGTTATCTATACTGATATCAACTGGGTAATGTTTTAGGCATCAGAGCATGTCTCATCATTTATTGGAAATGA